AAATAGGGGTCCAGCTTTATTCTTTAACATGAGGCTGATCAATTTTTTCAGCTCCACTTTTGACAAGACTATTCTCTAACTGTTGTATATTTTTGGCTCCTTTGTCATAAATTAATTGACCAAATATGCCTGGGTTTATTTCTGGACTCCCTTAGGTTCCATTGATCTGTGTGTCTGCATTTATTCCAGTACCATTCTCTTTTGATAACTGTTGATTTGTAATGTATTTTGAAATCAATAGGTGCAATGCCTCCAGCTCTTTTCTCTCTCAAGATTGCTTTGGCTGTTCAGTGTGTGTGGTTCCGTACAGATTTTATGGTCGTCCTAGGTCTATGAAAAATGCCATTGAATTTTGATAGGTGTTGCATTAAACCTTAGGTTGCCTTGGGTAGTATGGTCATTTTAACAATATTAATTTTCTCAGTTCATGAGCAGAGAATGTCTTGAAGTTTATGTGTGCCTTTCTCAGTTTCTTTCATCAGTGTCTTACAGTTTCCAGTGTATAGGTCTTTTACCTCCCCTTTTACATCTATTCCGAGGTATCTTATTCTTTTTGATGTAATTATAAATGGGATTGCTTTCTTAATTTTTCTTTCTGATGGTTTGTCATTATTGTGTTGAAACACAGCTTATTTTGTATATTGATTTTGTACTCTGTGTCTTGACTGAACTCATTCTATCAGTTTATTGCTGGTGTCTTTAAGGTTTTCTATATACAATATCATGTCATCTGCAAACAGTTTGACTTCTTCCTTTCCAAGTTAGGATTGGTTAGGAGTTCCAATACTATGTTGAATAATAGTGGGGACAGTAGGTATCTTTGTCTTCTTCCTGACCTTAGAGGAAAGGCTTTTGGCTTTTTTACCATTGAGTATGAAAGTAGCTGTGGGCTGGTCAGATACGGCCTTAATTGAGATACGTTCCCTCTATACCCAGTTTATGGAGAATTTTTATGATTTTTTTTCTTTCTCAGTACTTAAATTTACCTCTTATAAGGATGTAAGGCTACAGATATCCCTTGAAGTACTACTTTAGCTGTATAAGTTTAATAAGTTGTTTTTATTTTAGTTGTTTTAAGTAAAATATCCATTATAATTTTTTTGACCAAAGAATATTTGAATGTAAATTTTAATTTTCAAACATTTTCAGGGCCTTTGTTATAGTTGTGATTGGCGATATGGTCCATATAATAATAGTTTCTTGAAATTTGTTGAAAAATGGCCTAGAATTGATCAACATTCCAATGGTTGGGTCCTATATTCATTAGATTATGCTTGATAATGGTTGTTCTAATATTCTATAACCTTTCTTATTTTCTTATTTTTCTCTTTGAATTGATGAATTAAATTCTTTCATTGTGGTATCTGATTTTGTCAGTTTTTTTCAGGTAGTACTTTCAATTTATGCTTTCTGGTTTTTGAATCTAACTTAAAAGATGCATCTAAGTTTTGAATTCTTAGATTTTCCTGAAATAATGAATTTTTTTGTCAGTATGTAGTAGCTGTAAATACATAGTAATTTTTTATTCCTTAAAGCCCATTTTGTCTGATATAAATAGAGCCCCACCAATTTTCTTTAGGTTAGTATTTTTTAGTATATTTTTTATCTTTTTTTAAACCATATTTCATATAACCTGACATGCCTTCCATTGTAAATGCATCTCAGTTCAGAGACATTAATATGTGAGAAAATGGTTTGAGAGCAGGTAAGATACCATCAATTGTAAGCTGTATCCTGATTTCAGATATGTTAATATATAAAAAATGTACAGCAGGAATTTATGAAATACAGTGCTTTTCCTTTTCGTCTCCTGTTTAAGTATATCTTTTTAAAGTAGTACTTAACTGGAATTTTTTATTTCCAGTGTAGTTAACATACAGCGTTATGTTAGTTTCAAGTGTACAATATAGTGATTCAACAACTCCATATATTACTCAGTGCTCATCAAGATATACTTAACTGGAATTTAAAAAATCTAGTCTAAAAGGCTTTGTCTTCTTTTTTAATTTAAATTCAATTTAGTTAATAGTGTATTATTAGTTTCAAGGGTAAAATTTAGTGATTCATCATTTGCTCATAACACCCAGTTCTCATTAAACTGAGGTGATTTGGACATTTGCTGATATATTTGGATTGATACCTACCATTATACTCTTTGCCTTTTTTTTTATTTTAAGATTTATTTATTTATGTTAGAGAGTGAGGGGGTGGGGACAGAAGAAGAGGGAGAGAGAGAATCTCAAGCAGACTTCCTGCTGAGCATGGAGCCCAACATGGGGCTTGATCCCATGACCCCTAGATCATGACCTGAGCCTAAATTAAGAGTTGGACGCTTAACTGACTGAGCCACTAGGTGCCCCTCTACTCTTTGCTTTCTATTCTACATTTTTTGCATTTCTTTTTCTATCCTTTCTCTATTTCTCCTTCTCTCTTTCTTTTCTTCCTGTAATGATTTTTCTTCTCCCATTTTATTTCTCTACTAGTTTACAAGTTACATACTATACTTCTCTTCTTGTATTGGTACTCCATTAATTTTAATATGCATACTTAAAAGTTAAAGTATAAAGTTAGTATCTTTACTACCTATCCATATAAATGAGGACTTTGCATTGTTTTAACTCTAGTCATTTCATTCTTGACATATGCTATTACTGTCTAGAATTTTAGGTCTCTCGTTGATGTATTTAAAATTCCACAAAGCAGGCATCATTGTTAGTGTTTCATGCTCTCAGTATTTGTTTAGGTTTTCTTTTGCTCGCTGTTTCTTCTTGGATCATTTCCTTTTTCTTGGAGTATGATCATTAGTTCTTTTAGGAGAATTTCTTGGTACAGCTCTCTGGTTTTAGTTTTCTGAGTATGTGAGCTTATACTGCCCTCTTTCCGGGAGGATAATTTTGCTGGATTTGCTATTGAGCATAGCAGTTATTTTTTTCTTAGCATTTTGAAAATCTTTAGTAAGTAATTGTAATTTCTTCATATTTTTTGTTAATTCCCTCTTCAGTTGTATCTGCCTGTTAGCTCATCCATTTAATTTTAATGTCAATATAATTTTTTTAAAAGTTCTGTTTGTTTTTCAGAGCTGGACGTTTATCATCAGCCACTGCTTTATTTTCTCTAGTCCACTAAAAGCCATGGCTGTGACAGGCAAATTTCCTTTAGTATGTGTTTGTTTACTGCTTTGTGACTTAGATCACTGACTGAGAGTGTCTCCTTGGAGGTAGGACTTTTCCTTATGCAGAGGTCTCTGATTCATATTTGCAATATACTTGGTCCCTAGACTCTGGAGCCCAAAGGTGTAAACACAAATCACAGAAAATGAAATATGTATCTTTCTTTGATCCTTATGATATTTTCCATTATATCTTTGTAAACCTATGAAATTATTATTTCTGACCTGGATTTCTTTTGAGTCATGTTTTCTTGGTGTGCTTTCCATTTCTTTAGTTTTAATTGTTCTGTATTCATACGTATCTTGTAGACAACTTATTGTTGGTCCTTATTTGTCTTTTTTTAAGGTTTATTTATTTATTTGAGAGAGAGAGAGAGCATGTGAGGGAGAGGGGCATAGGGAGAGGGAGATATAGAATCTCAAGCACTGATCACAGAGCCTGATGCAGGTCTTCATCCCCTGACACATAAGATCATGACCTGAGCCAAAATCATGAGTTGGATGCTTAACCGACTGAGCCACCCACAGCACTCCAGTCCTTATTTGTCTTAATTAAACTTCAACATTTGGCTCTTGCTGTTGAGTTTAACCCATTTAAGATTTTTGTAACTTATTTTGTATTAGGGATTATTCTGCCATCTTATTTTTTGTTTTGAATTTACTGTATTTTCTTATTCTCCATTTGATAGGTCAGAGGTTTTTTTATACTTTGAAGATTATACAGAATATTTATATGCTATTTTTCTTATGTTAATACCATTGCTTATATTTTAAAGTGTATTTTTCCCTGTTCTTCTTTAAGTGTAACACCTCCGCTTTCTTCTAAACCAGATACCCATTTTAGTGCACTTCTTCATTTAGTTGTTGTTGTTGTTGTTCTTCTTCTTCTTCTTCCTTTTCTTCTTCTTCTTCTTCCTCTTCCTCCTCTTCTTCCTCTTCCTCCTCTTCTTCCTCTTCTTCTTCCTCTTCTTCTTCTTCTTCTTTTTTCAACCTTATTCTGTCCTTTTCTACCGTATGGATATCATTAGGAATTTCAGATATGGATTGTAAACAGTGTTTCCTCTCCTCTACCTCTGCTTTTCCTTCCTCCCCCAACGTAAAATGTTTAGGAGTGACTAGTTTTTCTGAACCTCTTATTATCTCCTCTTTGCTAAAGCTGAGTGACCTCGAACATTGCCCTATTATACCCCATTGACATTAGGCTGGTCGTGCTGTTTGTCTGCACAGCAGTGGATACTGGACAGGCAGTCATCTCCCTGAGACAGTAAAAAACTCATCTGGAAAGTTCTTTCCAACACATGTAGGTTTTCTGGTTCTCTTCTCTGGAAATCCTTTCTCTCTTCTCAGAACATTCTCACGGTCCTTTTTTTTTTAAAGATTTTATTTATTCATTTGAGACACAGAGATAGAGAGAAAGCATGAGCAGGGGGAGAGGCAGAGGGAGAAGCAGGCTCCCCGCCGAGCCAGGAGCCCGATGTGGGGCTCGATCCCATGACCCCGGGATCATGACCTGAGCCGAAAGCAGATGCTCAACCATCTGAGCCACCCAGGCGCCCCATTCTCACAGTTCTTATGTTAATTCTTTAGGTTTATAAACCTCAGTTGAACTTCTGCAGCATCTTGAGGCTTGACTCTCTGAGAGGGAGTCGGCAGTCTATACTAGATGGTCATTTTTTTTCAGGAAGCTAAAGTCTTTGTAATATCATATTATAATTGTATATGGAGTGCTAAATATTTTGCAGTTGGCTCACCAGTAGCTTACAAAACAGAGAAGTGTTTCTTAATGGAGTGAAACATAATAACTTTATTTTTAAAATTTTAATCTTCCCAGTTCTGACAGCATCAGCAGTGACGAGGAAGAGCTGAGAACTTTGGGAAGCAGTGGTAGTGAAAGCAGCACTCCAGAGAATGTCGGGCCTCCTTTCATCATGGATGAGAATAGTTGGTTCAACAAGTGTAAGAGAGTTAAACAAAAGTATCAGCTAACCCTGGAACAGAAGGTATTTATCATTTGCCAAAAGTCATTTAATCTGATTCTCATTATTGCCTTTGGACTGTCACTGCCAAAAGATCTTTTAGCTGAATGTAAGTGTTGACCCATTGCTACTTCCTTTCTGTTCTTGAATTGTCCTTCTCTTTATTTATTTATTTATTAATTATTATGTTATGTTCTCTTAATGAAAAATCATGCAGAGTTTTAAAAGAGGTTTTTGTTTTTTCAACTTCTTCTAATTTTGTGTTTTTAACATAAAAATTAGCCATTTAGGGGCACCTGGTTGGCTCAGTCAGTTAAGCATCCGACTCTTGATTTCAGCTCAGGTCATGATCTCAGGGTTGTGGAATCGAGCCCTCGAGCTCCTCAGCATGGAGCCTGCTTAAGATTCTCTCTTTCCCTGTCTCTCTGCACCCCCCCAAAAGAAGTTAAAAATTAAATTAAAAAATAAGTCATTTATTCTTCTGTATGTGGTTTCATTTATATGTTTGAGATTTTAGCATTTATTAAGAGGGTAAAGGTAAAGCGGACAAATATGAAAAAAAAATTTATGTTAATACCACTCAACATAGACCTTAAGGCAAAAGCACTATTAAGACTAAAGAAATACGTTGCTCTTGAAAAAAAAAGAACCAGTTCACCAGGAATGTGAACATGGTGGAGATGGGTAAAATAGGTGAAGGGGGTCAAAATGTACAAACTTCCAGTTTACCCACTGCAAGCGAACCTCTTATTGAACTTCAGGAAGGGCTTTAAGGGATGGAAGACATAGGTTAAATTTTTGTATTCAATTAAAATGATTATTTTTTTACTATTTCATCAGTAATACTTTGAGATTGTTTCATTACAATATGGAAAGAATAGCATTTAACCTACTCAGTATTGATCTTCAAGAGATACATTAGAATTCTGCAGTAGCTTTATCTTGTTGGTACTGTATTTTCAGGGTTATCTTGAAGAACTCTTACGACTTCGAGAGAACCAGCTGTCTGAGTCTGTCTCCCAGAATAAAATACTACTTCAAAGGATTGAAGATTCTGATCTGGCCCATAAATTGGAAAAGGAACAATTAGAATATATAATTGTGGAGCTTCAAGATCAGCTGTAAGTGAGATCCTTTCGGGAAAATATTGGCTGTATATAAACATAAGAAAATGTCATGTTTTGACATAGGATTCAGATTCTGAGAAATCTGACTGCCTGCTATTAACTTCCTTTTCACTTACTCTTTTTAAAAAGTTTACTCTTCCTTTTATCATTATAAAAGTAATCCATACTCATGGCAGAAATATTACAAAATACAGGAAGAAAATAAAAACTGTCTTCAAGTGTGTGCTACCCAGAGTTAACTGCTATGACTTGATGTGTATTCTCTCAAATGCATATACATAATTTTAGAAGTATTTATTTAGTCATTGATTGACTAATCAATTGATTGATTCAAAAGATGGGGTGTAAGACCAGTACCACTCACAGTACAATGATGGTGCAGTGTTTGTCCCCACGTGTGTATCACTAAGCACACTTTAGTATAGCTTTTTTCCATAGCAGTAGTTTTTTTGCTTTTTGTTTTGTTTTGTTTTTGTTTTGCTGAAGAAAGGTGTGTATTAATCTACACTCTGGTATAACCTCCTTAATTTGTGACTATTCAAAACACCTGTACTAATCATACCATTTTGTCAGACTTGATTTTATCAATTAATTGTTTATGGTGAAAATCTTCTCACATTAATATTTAATCTTAATGGATGATTTTAAAAGTTTTTATTTTGAAATAATTTCAAGATTTCAGAGAAGTTGCAAGATAGTACAAAGATTTCTGATAGGCTGTTTCTTAGATTTACCAAATTTCAACACTTTTCCACATTTACTCATGATTCTCTCCCTCTTGCATACATCACCACTCTTTACCCCATAATACTTCAGTTGTGTCTTTCCTGAGACCAAAGATATTCTCTTATATAACCACAGATCATCTATCAACTTCAGAAATTCAAATCAATGTAATACTTTCATCTTATCCATAATTCATTCCAATTTCATCAGTTGTCCAGTTAATGTCTCTTATTGCAGCTTTGTTTTTTCTGGTACAGGATCCAGTTCAGAATCATGTTTTGCATTTGGTTATTCATTTCTTTAGTCTCGTTTCTTCAGTCACCTTTAACTTAGAACAGTTTCTCAGTCTTTGTCTCATATGAAATTGATATTTCTGAAGAATACAAGGTAGTAGTTTTATAGAATGTCCCTCAATTTGAGTTGGTTTGCTTTTCCTCATGATTAGAATGAGTTTATCCATTTGTGGTTGGAATATAAGTGGTGTGTCTGTAAGTGTTGGGAATATCATATTCAGAGGTCCGTGGAGTTTGTTGGCCTTTTATTACTGATACTAATTTTAATCATTTGGTTAAGATGTTTTTCTCTCGATATAGTTACTGTGGTTCCTTTTGTAATTAACATGTAATTTCCAGGGAGATCCTTTGAGACCTAGTAAACATGAAAGATGATTTTTTTTATTATGTTATGTTACATTAGTCACCATACAGTAGTCATTAGTTTTTGATGTAGTGTTCCATGATTCATTGTTTGCATATATGATTTTTTAAATAAAAAGCTTTTATTAGGGCGCCTGGGTGGCTCAGTTGGTTAAGCGACTGCCTTCAGCTCGGGTCGTGATCCTGGAGTCCCGGGATCGAGTCCTGCATCGGGCTCCCTGCTCAGCGGGGAGTCTGCTTCTCCCTCTGACCCTCTTCCCTCTCGTGCTCTCTATCTCTCTCATTCTCGCTCTCTCAAATAAATAAATAAAATCTTTAAAAAAAAAAGCTTTTATTAACTAACATAAAATTTCAGTGTTTTCTAGGATTTTGTATCTTGATGAAAAGAATTATGTTCCCATACTCTTATTTTTTAGAGTTTGTCCTGTGGCATATCACTCATTGAGGGGCAAATTAATACCTTCCATAACTCTTTGCTTCTGTAAGCAGGGAGAAAAATATCCAGAGCCAAACAATAAAGATTTCTAGTTATTTCTTTACAGCTAAAAGAGTAGAAGGTAATTTAATTTTTCTTTTGCAGTTGATACTGGTAATTTGTCTCAATGCTTTTAACTTAAAAATAATTGTGAAATCAGTTTTTATTTTATCTAAGAGATATTTTCATTTGAAAAATAAAATGTATCACATTTATTGTACTTTTGATAATGTAAAGGAGAAGACTCAAACTTTTTAGTTTGAAAAAAGAATCTGAGTTATAGTTTTATTATACTTCTATGATAGAAGAGCATCATTGATACTTACAGTTTTTTTAATCCCTTCAAGGAGATTTCAACTAAATATTACCAGAGCAAAAAATAAATACTGAAGGTCACCAATCTGGATTAGGCTATTTTCTTGAGTTTAGGGTCAAAGATGTAATTTCACATAACATGGCTACACTTTTAGCCAGGTTAATTGGTATCTTACAAGATTCCTTTGTACAAAAACCACTTACAAGGATCCTGAACAGAAGAGTAAGATACATTCCTTTGAGAATCTTCTCAATTCACTACATTAACTGAATCATCTGTAAGATACAGAGTACTCTGGGCATATATGTGGCTATAGGGAGAGAGTGGACATTTTTTTCCTTCTTTTCTTACTGAGATTTAGGTTAGGACGGCCTGCAATGAAAGCTGGGTACTGGAATTTTCTTTGTAATCCTGAGAAGACAATAGTGGCCCTGAGAAGATTAAAATTTTAAATGTGTAAAGGAAAAGGTCAGGAGAGGAGTATTAAATGGTTTATGAAGCGTGTAATCTTTGCTTTCACATTATGTTAATCATCTTTTCCTGGTTGATATAAATCCTTTGTCACTTACCTTATTTTTATATATTTCTCAATGCTTAGATGTATTTTTGAGTAACTGTTAAAGTATGCTTTAATTCTTTGAATACTCATAAAATGTGAACATCCTATAGTTTTGAATAGAGTATAGGGAGTGTGGTATACTAGAGGAGCATTCTAAAGCTTTATTACAAATACGGACTATGTTCAGACCCTGGTTTTGTATTTGCCTATTATTATGAGTTCATAATGTCTTGGAGCATCTGTCTCTTTATCTGTAAACTGGAGATAATACTTACCTTATGGATTACTATGAGTATTAAATGCTATCATGTATAATATAGTTAGAACAAAGAAAATATTCAAAGATTATTCCTTTCTTTTGGTCTATAAAAACCTTAAAATATCCTTGTTAAATACACTTGGATAAATGGTAAATTTAAAATGTTTTACTTTATTATGCTCAAATGCTACAGATCAAACAAATGAGTTTAGACTGTATTATACCCAAGTTTCAAAAAATTTGTTTTTCAAATCTAGTTTCCAAATGGCATTTGGATTAACATTTATATTTATAGTATAGGCTTGTGTATATTGGGTTAATATTTATAATTACAGTATAGATTGGTGTATATTAGGAGGAAGACATACATGGCTACTTACTACTTTACTGGTACCAGTTTTAACTGTAATTCTTCATTGATCACTGATACAATACTAATTTGGATTATTTTAGATTATTAGTCTTTGACTAAGGTGTATTTGAGTGATTACATTTATGTTGGTGGAATTTTAAAGTATCAAGTAATTTTAAATCTCCAAATACTGATTAGGAATAATGCTATCATTTCATTGAGAAATACAGCATCATTCTAGATTTTTATTTTCATAGTCTTATTGAAATCTGTGGCATACCTTTATTTTATTTTAGATAAGTTTTAATTCAATTTTGCTGGCATATTAAACTTCATTCAATAAAATAAAACAAGCTTAAGGTATTAGTTATACTTTGAATCATTACATGAAAAGTCTCTCTTAAGATTATGAAATGTAGTGTTTATGGCCTTACAAAAAACTTACTGTCATATTATTTATGCTAATGGTGGGAAACCTTTTCATTTCTGAGTTTAGTTTTATTCAGTAAACATTTATTTAAATGTATACTTCTGTGCTTGAGAGTACCGAGAATCCAGAGAATAAGAAAGATATAGTCTGTCTTCACAAGGAGCTCATAAGTTAATGAAGTGGACAGATGGACACCATTGGTCACATTGTTAAACTGATAAGAACAGATACTACACTTGATCTTAGCCAAAAGGCTGAGAAGCAATTTTGGTCACATTGTTATTGAAGAGAACCCTACATGGGAGGAAAGGTTTGTCCTCATCCACAGGTTTAGATCTTCAGATAGATGTCTTTGTAAAACACTAATTGCAAAGCCTCAGAACAGTGAGTAAAATCTAAATACTTTTGTCATGATTAATACCAGTAAAATTTATAAAAAGGAGTTTTTGCTATTTGATGCAGTTTTTCTATTTATGGTGCGAAAAGCTATAGGAATAGTAACATGTCCTGTAAGGGTCCCTCATGAAGGAACTGTAGAATCTAGCTAACAGAAGTAAAGAATCATGCATTGATAAAACTAGGGCATTGTTATAGTTCAACAACCATGTTTGTGTAGTTCCTGGTGAGTAGTGACGGTGTGATCTGTCAGCCTGCAAACCATAAGTCAGTGATTCTGTAGCATCCTGCTTCACAAGGTTTAGGCTGAGTGGTATAGATCTTAACAAGAGAATGGAATGATGTCATCCTGGCCCGGTTAATAATGGACAAATTATGATAATTCCTGATCATGTATATTTTTTGGCAGGTAACAATTATTATTAAGAGTTAACATCATGTTAATATTTTCACACACTCTGTTATCCATATAAACACAGAAAAGTCAAGAAGATGCATCCGGAAGAGAAAAAAGCCAGATACCAGATAGTTAGTCAAACTACACTGTATTGTGCTTTCTTGAGTGATAATGGGGAATTAAATATGACAACAAGAAAGGGTACTGATTTGATATGGATGTTATTTCATTGCCTTTAGTCATGATGTTTGATTAAAACTGCTGGTGGATTCTTCAGTAGAGCAGATGTCAGTATATTTGGGCAAGGGGCCTAGCAACAGTTGGGACTACTACAGTTTTTCACATAGAAGTGACGCAGACTAGAAAAGTGGCTTGCTTTTGGCATCCTTATTTCGTAAAAGTTTTACACTGAGTACATAAAGAAAGGA